ATACGTCAAAGTTAGTGGTGCACTAAGACACTGTGCATTTATGGTTATGGCTATGCATGGAAATATCCTTTCAGAAATACAGGTATGTCAGCATATGATTACTTATCATACATTTACATACGTCTGCCTCAAGGTCTAGATTATCCTTTCATCCTTGTTTTAGCAATGCGAATAAGCTGAGTAAACCAACTTTAGGGTGCTAAACCTCAGTTCAGCTTATCTGCCAAGCATTAAACACAACCCAATTTTAGACTTTTTTTATTTAAAAAAATCTTTTGAAAGATATGTAAGTTGCTCTGCCTGAGTCAAATTCCAATCGATCTTGAATTTGGATGCTTTTCTATTTATCGAGCCAAGCTCCTTAACCCAATTTTAAGAACCTCAGGTCATTTTACAACTCTGGTTTTCTAAACAGGTTAAAGGGTTGAAGGAAGCAATCATGATCAGATTGCTATAAATTTTGGTTATCCCCATCAATCTTCTTATAGTTGCACACAATTTGCATTAGTTATGTTGTTTTATCATAGAAAATTAGATGGCTTGATCTTGATGATGCTCAGTTGATTGCTTTATCATTTAATATTTGATTCTGTCTTGATTAAGTCGCTTAGTGAAAAAAAGGCACATTATGGTAAGGATGATATCAACCATATGTCCTGATTTTTCTGTAGATATTATATTACTTTAACTTAAACCGTGTTGGTGAAAAAGGGATAAAATAAATGTTAGTTGAATTATTAATTCTCGATCTTCTTTCTCCCGTTATAAGTGGAAGTGTTTACACATTCTCATCTACAAATGAAAAGGCAAAGTTTATGTGGGGTGACAAAAAGGCACATTATGGTAAGGATGATATCAACCATATGTCCTGATTTTTCTGTAGATATTATATTACTTTAACTTAAACCGTGTTGGTGAAAAAGGGATAAAATAAATGTTAGTTGAATTATTAATTCTTGATCTTCTTTCTCCCGTTATGAGTGGAAGTGTTTACACATTCTCATCTACAAATGAAAAGGCAAAGTTTATGTGGGGTGACATGCCTGCCATTACTGCCACAAGGGGGATTATGAGTATAGCATGCTAATCCGTGTACATTTTCGATAAAATTCAGGTGATAAACTTAAGTTGACATGGGAAACTGAGAAATATAGTGAGATTGAGTTCCAGTCACTCTTTGGCTCTCAATGTCATTTCTCATAGCAAACTTATATCCTTTTGATTTCATATTTCTTTTTCCGAACTTAGGAGTACAAGTAATTACAATTGTGAACCCTCTGCAACCTAATTAAACGAGAACAGCACAATATTCTCATACACAAAACGCTGGCGTGCACTTCTGGTCACTGAAAATTTCCACATAACAGCCAGTCCCTATCTGATTGTTGGTTATGACTAGGTAGTATTCCTTTTTGATTTTCTTGTAGACTTGAATGAGTTTATATGTCTCCAGTTCCTGATGTTTTAACAGTTTTCTAGTTGTAAGGAAATAAACTGCCCTTCTTGGTGAACCTCAGATTAATTGCTGCCAACTCTTATTCTTAAATGGTCTTTTGTGAGTCCATAAGTAGGTTGAATGGTCCTTTCTGGTGTTATTTTCTCTCATTTTTATTTTATTTGGATGGGAGTGTGGGTCCTGTAAAGCTACCTTACCTCCTAACCAAAGATACACTTGCAATAATATGTTGATTTAGTTTTAGTCCACACCTAAGCTAGCGAATTCGTTACTTTCATGTTTATAGAAAACAATTCAACTACAGAGCAATGGCATGTTAAAAATGCTTGAAAAAATGTTTTAAGGCCATACGATTTGTAATTGGCACCATGCAAACTCATATATGCATGGATTAGAATGCTTACATAGCTATTTGCTCTAATAACTTGTAGCTACTGAATTGTGCTCTCTTAAATTTTGTGTTTGTAGGCACCATCTGAACTACGACAGGTTTTTAAGAATGAGATTCAGATGGTTGGGAATGAAGGTGCTAAAGTGTTACGAGTGCTTGGAGAAAAAGTACAGAAGATGGAAAAACTAGCCCCGGGAAACCTCCTCCAGGATGTTCATGATGCTGCTGAGGATTTGCAACTGAAGATTGACGAAAAATCTTATCTTTTGGTAAATGCAGAGAGCTGGGAAAGTGTAAAACGGCCTGGAAAATTTCAAGACCCTGAGCACCTTCAAGATCTCAAGGATAACGCAAGCAAACCATTAGTGATAAATTCCCTTAGTGCAGTCAACCTGAAATCAACCTACTCTTTTAAAAACTACGATCCGCAGAATCCAAACATGAGCACCAATCTCTCAGTTTCTCAATGGGGTTCCGGAGAAGATGTGCTCAAACAACAAACAATGTGGCCGTCAAGGCTTTCACTTATTGGTGATACCATTCTCAACGAGCGTGAAGTACGGACATATGAAAGTGCAAGTGCATTGTCACTCTCAACATTTACATCCCTGTTGATTGAGTTTGTGGCTAGGCTTCAGAATCTCGTGGATTCGTTTGAAGTACTCAGTGAGAAAGCAAAATTCAAGGACCCCATAATTTCGACTGAAACAAAAGAAGTACCTGGTTGTTGGGACTTGTTTCTCAAGCGCATATGCTGCAAGGATTAATGTATCCGTCTTCTATTGGTCTTAATGTTATTACTTCAACACTTGTTTAAGAAATTGTGTTGTCAAATCATTAAGGTTGCTGTTGAATATACAGATGACACGTTTGGTAGGGAGGATTGGGGAATATTTGATAGCGTCAGAAGAGGAAAATAAGCTGAATTTTGTTCATTATAATGTCGAGTTAAGTGTTGCATACCAAAACATGCATGTAGAATTTTGCTACGTTAGTGGTTTGTCGTGTTAGACGAAGCTGGGAATTCTTGTTGTCTTGTATGTAGTGGCTAACTGTTGTTCTCAAGAATAATGTGTTAATATGAATGATCAAGGCATCTGATTTTCGCTTGAGGAGTGATTAGTGTTTTGGAGGATTGACATGAAAGAATAAAGAAAATGTTCTGAATGAGTGGATTTTTATATTTCTATACATTTTGTTTGTATGTAGATGAAATAATCTGAAGAGATTCATTTTGTTTATAAGTCGATTTCAGAACTGGCCCGTGCAGGTTCAGCTTGCCCTCAAAAAACTGCGTCGGGCCAGGTTAGGGGGTGAGTCATGCAGAACTCGACTCGTGCGTGGTCCTAGTTTTCATTAAAAGACAAAAAGTCTGCGAAGCTCGAAGCATGCATCCTGGTTTTACGAAAATGTGGGTAAGTTAACGTTCCTGAAATACATTATGCCAAAGAAGTAAAAATGATTTTGCAAGAAAAGTATTGTTCAAAATAAACTA